AACTTTAAACTAGTTATAATAGTTAAGCATTATAATTATAACAACATACAACAAATTCATTATTAAATCTAAAAATTATATATATATATATATATATATATATATATATATATATATATATATATATATATATATATATATATATATATATATATATATATAAATTACATTTAACATTTGTTTATATATAAGACTTAAAAGAGTACATATGTACACTAATTAATTTAAAGATTATCTAAAAGAAATCTAATTTAATAAATTGATTATCTTTTAGTTCAAACTAAATCCCTAATCATCGGTTAAATCATCTTGAAATAGAAATTTTTAATATAATAAATTAAGAGTTTAATCTATATGTAGTGATAGTATAAAACTATTTTGTATTGTTGTTCAATAGAAAACCAACTAACTACTTTATCACTAAAAAAAATTTAAAATTAAAATATAATTTATTCTGATATAAAATTGTAATTAAATAACAATATAAAATTAATTTATCCAGTATATTACTTTTCTCATAAATTAATTTTGAATGGGACATGCTATGTTATTTTATCTGTCTAAAAGACTTAATAATGATTTTGATTGATTGAAAGGTAAAAATGATTTATAACTGTGTATAAGTTAATTAAATTAATTTTTACTTAATATAAAAAAATAGTTGTAACAAAAAAAAAAAAGGTATTAAAGCAAAAAACACAGCAAAGTTTATCTTTTCGTGAAGCAAACACTCCTTTCTTGGAGTTCCGTTTAATAACAGATAACAGCGTTGATTTTCTTCTCTATTTTTCGATCCCCGAGGTTCATTTCACCCTAATTATATGCTTCATTTTTTCAACTCTTACGTTTTACCTTTTCAAACTTCTTAATCGATCGCCAAATTATTACAGGTTTTTTTTTTCTCTTTTCCTAAATTCATGATCGGAAACTCTAGGGTTCTATTTAATTTCATATAAAAAAATTTAGGGTTCTTATCAGTGGATTTTGTGTATAGTTGTTTTTTATGATTATTTCTTAGGTATTGTTTGATTATTCGGGATATAGACGCATTAATTGACTTTTGTTTGATGCTTTTTGCAGGAAAAATGGCAAAGAGTTACTTCAAACAAGAGCATGATCTTGGTACAAGCTTTTTTTTTAATTTTGTTTTGTTTTATTTTTGGTAGATGATTTAATTTGTTGGATTGTGTGTTTGATTGTAGAAAGTTGACTTGAATGTAAATAAATGGTTTGTTTTTATGTCCAGAGAAGAGAAGTGCTGAGGCTGCTAGGATTAGGGAGAAATACCCGGACCGAATTCCGGTGAGGATCATATATTTGTAGTAGAAGCTATGCTGTTCTTTTTTAGTAATTTTTTCTGCTGGAGGAGATAATGATTTTCAATTTATATAACTTTTTCTCTATTGATGATCTGATTGTGCCATCTGCTGGAGATAAATGTATTGTATAATAACCAATTTGGATAGAAGTATGGTCTTGGATAGAATTATGGCAGAAGTTGATCCATGTAGTCGACCCCGCTCAGTGGGATAAGGTTTGTTTATTGTTGTTGTTGATGTTGATGTTTGGGGTTTAGTGTTTGGGTTTACTTGTGCAATCTAATGAGATGTAATATCCCATTTTAGAGATGGGATAAGTTTAGGGAATATAAGGATGGTTAGCTGGGGTGGGGAGTGATAAGGAAATCGAAGGTTCGATCCCCACTTCAGCATAATATCTGAACATTGCGGTTAAAAAAAAGAGATGGGATAACTTTTTTTTTGGGTAGAAACACATGCTATTGAATACTAATTAAAGGCAATTCATGTTGAGTTGTGCTTCTACTTGCTTCCCACCGCACTCATGATTTTTGATATTTCTAATAGATGATAGATCATTGTTATTATGCTAAATTGTTTCTCGTGTGCTTGAAGGTGATTGTGGAGAAGGCAGAAAGAAGTGATATCCCAAGTATTGACAAGAAGAAGTAAGATTTTGTTAATAATTTTAATTTATCCTGGAAATGTCACATTAATTGTTTCTACTCATATGTTTGTCTCTTCAAAAGGAAAGAAAACTGTTACAGCTGATTGGATACTATTTATATTTGTATTATTTGTATTATATTATCTTAACATAACATATTGAACATAAAAGGGTAAAAGTCATGGTTTTCTCGTGCAATATCTCTGAATTTAAGTTAATGGTTCAATTGTTACAACTTTACAGGTGAAATTTTGTAGATTTAGAAGCCTGCTCCAATATGTTTAAGATGATTTTTTCACAATATCCTCTTTGAGTTAAAAGTGTGTATCATTAAATCCAAGCTCACAAAGCTCCACATTAATTAAAATAGTTTTCATCCATTGCTTTATAATCAACACACGACATACTTTTTAACGAAAAGATCATTCAAACAGTGCACTACTGCATTCCTGTTTTTTTTTTATTTTTAGAATTTGGCATGCAATTTCTATTGTATATACTTTTCCAGTTTATGTCGGTCCCGAACTTTTGAGTTAGATACACAGAATTTAAGTTGGTTGCTATTTTTATAAGAATTTGATTTATGAATGTGTGGTGTTTGTAAAGCTGGATAGTCATGGATCTGTATTTCTTCAGTCAGATAACTAGAGATTTTATGGTGGACTAGTATTATTTGTTGGGAAGTTATTTCTGCCAGCTGCTGTATAAAATTTGCAAGGTGTACAACCGGCATTTACGGGCCGTATGTCCCCTTTCATAACTAACAAACTGAGTGAATTGATTGTAGGTACCTTGTCCCTGCTGATCTCACAGTTGGACAGTTTGTCTATGTTATCCGTAAAAGAATTAAACTAAGTGCAGAAAAGGCAATTTTTATTTTTGTGGACAATGTCCTTCCACCTACAGGTAAACCTCAGAAAATTGTACATTTTTTTCCCAAAGATTCTTCAGTCTTGTGTAATTTAAAGCAGTTTTAGCCATCAGTTGATGGGATTCGTTAATTTTCACAGGAGCAATAATGTCAGCCATATATGATGAGAAGAAGGATGAAGATGGTTTTCTTTATGTTACTTACAGTGGGGAGAACACCTTTGGGGATATGATTTACCAGTAGCATTTCATAGATTTACAATATTATATGCTCTGTTACTTCTTCATTGGCTTGTTCATAAATTCCCAATGCTACTCAATAACAACCAACATTGTTCTCATTGCCATGTACAGTTGTATGTAAATTCTAAGAAATTGTTTAATGTTGAAAAAACATCTTTCCTCGTTCACTGTTTCAACTCTTTCATTGCTTGTTCATCGTTCAAATGGATGGGAACATTTGGAAAAAAACATGGTTCTGGATAAAATATTATGGTAAAAGTTGATCTATGTAGTCGACTTTATTTAATAGAGTAAGCCTTGGTTGTTGTGGTTCTAACTCAAACGTGGTAGTAAATTCCATGTTTATTTTTTAGATAAAACATTGCATGTGTGGCAATTTATTGGCCATAGAAATGGCTGAACATTTGATATCCTGTTGTAGTTATAACTTGTTGGATAGAAATGCTTATCCAAAAACCGTTGTTGTTGGATAGAAATGTTGACAATTAAAGACAGTCTATATATCTTACTACGGTTTTCTCAAATAAAATTACGTATGGTTCCAACTTGGTTCGCAGCTAGAATTGTGCACGTTTGGTTAATAGGGGATACTTATGTACATAATCAATGTGCTTAATGGTAAGGTTAAGCTCGATGCGTCCAATTATATTAGAGGATTTCTTTTTCCACCAACGTATTATGTGGAATTTCAAAAATATCTCTAAAAATCATAAATATATTTCATTTGCTTTTTGAGATTTACTCTATTCTATGATAAAATTTATTTTGGAAATATATTTCCGATTCTTAATAAGCAATAACATAACAGTAACAGGATTCTAATAAGAATAAAGTGTTAGTCCTCAACTCTATCATTTACATTTGCAACTAGTCATTGGCGTGTACATAATCGACGAAAACAAAATTCTTCTCTAGTTGGTTTACCGCAAAAGCTAAGGTTGCGTTGAGTTTCAGATAGAATCCCAGAAGTTGCACAAAACACAACAGTTGCACCAATCAAAATTTTCTACCATGTTTTGAATCCCTCGTAAGCTCCTTTATAAGATGAACACTTTAGTGTGTGCTCTTCAAATCTATCCAACATCTACAAGGAAACAAAAATGCAAACGATAATCAAAGTTGTGTTTTATTCTTGGTTTTGTAGACAGTAGAAAAAGATTCATAATGGAATAAGTTCATAATGAATTGCTAATACATTGCTAATGGTTTTGATAGTACTGTGGATGGTAATGGCTAGCTGTTATGTTATTGTTTATTCATAATCAGAAATATATTGTCGAGAATTTCCAAAAATACATTTCTGATTTATACGTAAGTTTAACTTTAAAAAAAATGCGTATCAGAAAATATATTATCAATTTCCAATGACATTTTAAAAAATGTATAGGATATTTCTTAAGACTATAGGATAGAAAAAGAAATTTTCTTATATTATTATATAATTCAACTTTGAGTATGGACCAAGAACAAAAAATTTTAAGAGACCTTGCATCTCATTTTAATCTCGGACCATTTCCAATACTACAATCAATATAGAATTGCTTGACTATATGACTTTAGTGTCTCTGAAGAAAAATCTACCTGGCCTTTGACCTGATCCTTCCACCTCACATATTTTAATAATAATAATGTCAAAAATATCTCTCAAAATTTATAGTATGCAAAATTTTAACTCTCAAAAAACTCGTAAAAAATTCTAGTGTTTTTGAAAATCCAATGTGAAAAAGGCGCATTTTTATTGGTTTTTTATTTATTTTTTAATTTAGCGTTTTTATTGAATTATTCAAAATATTTAGTGCGTAGTTTGAGTTTATCGAAAAATAAATATCTTTCTCAGTCGACAACGATTCAAATCATAAGCTGATAATGGTCCCTATCCATGTAACCTTGATTTTTCCTGACCACTATTCTACCAAACAAAATCAATTACCACTACTACTACTACAGCTGACGATGAATGGGTTGACAAATCTGATTAACTCGGATGTCCGGATCCCTAGCTTCAGATCAACCTCACCACCACCCAACCAAAAGAAATCCGGAGTTAGTTTAACAATTGCTTCATCCAAAATCACCTGAAATAAACCCATAACATCCAATCAATAAATGAAGAAGATGAAGGCTAGTATCAGGAGAAGTCTTAATTATTGGCACTTGTAATAGCAAGCAAAGTTGAATAAAAACAATGACAAGGATGTCATAACTAGTAATCTGTATACAGTGTAAACCGAAAAGAAAACCATTTAAACTTTTATCTACTGTTATCAACTGATCCCGGTTTGCATTAATTACCAATCCAAGTATATGACAAGGAAAATGTTCAATACAGTAGAAGTTAATTGATTAACTAGCCTTAAAACAGTGTGAATGATGAGTTCTTCCATTGTCATCGTCAGGATGCAATATCTTATACGCTACCATTAAAGAATTTAGATTCCAAAAATAATCACAGGTCAGATCCGGCATTTACCGGAATGTCTGTTTTCATGCCAATACAAGTCACTGCATTGTGCCCATATCCAGTTAACTGCGTTGATATCTCCTCAGGGGCTAGCCTCACTGTATAATAAGTAACATTATTACCTTCTAAGCAATAAAAGGTTAGAGACATTTAATCGAAAATTAAAATCTTCAAAAACAAAGGGAAGACCTTGCATAAGTAAAGATAAATGGTACGTCAAAGTCATGAGTATCCCCGAGTATGGACCTCGCATACTTTCACTTCATGATAATAACTATCCTTTATATAGCTGTTAAATAGAATTTTCATGCAAAAACTACATTGTCAAGGGTTAATGGTCTCAGCTCCCCCGCAATCTTATCTACTGCAGTTTGAAGAAGTTCAAAGTAGACAATAAAGACGGGGTACTGCATTAAAAGTGGATCACAACGTACAATAAATTTTTTCTGTTATGTTAGATACATAAGAAATACTGAAAGGTACTGTGATTTGTATTTAAGACAATGGATTAATGGAAAAGTAGAAAATCTGGCAGTAGTGTGTCTAACAGCCCTAGCCGAATGGCCCATTCACCAAAGAAAGGTTCTCGTTCATCCTCTATTTCTCCTAACAGAATTCATCAGAATGCCCTGTTCACTCTTATTTTCTAATGTAACTAACTCTCCTTCTAAAAAGCTCATTTCCCTTTCTCTCTTTCGAGCTCAGCCTCTCCATTATTCTTAAAATGTTCCCTGTAGTAAAGTTTATATATCTTGGGCCTTCCTTCTATATTAGGTGTCGCATGGCCTAATTCAGCTACACAGTCCCTATTAACAGACCCCTCTATTAGGTGTCATCTTCCCAAGTCGCATCCTCAATTGGATTGCCCTTCTACTAAATCAAACACTACTGCACTGTAACTCCACCTTCGGTAACAGTTCTGTGACCTTAGACAGACTCTGGCCCACTTTCACAATCACCCTGAACTGCTTAGCTCTTTGGGGAGTTCTCCAATGGCATATTTCAGCTGTGATAAATGGAAAAACAGATGGACCTTAGATTGGCAGGGTAGTTTAAGTACTCACACCACTGCTGCCATCTCAGCTCCCCTGCAACCTCATTTGCTGCAGCTTGCTGAAGTTCAAGGTGGAGAAGTCAAAAGAGATCATATGATGCAGTTGCAGTGCATTAAAGGCTAATTCAATAAATGTGAATATTCACCTTTTCATCTCTTACTAGTGAATGGTTACAGAAGACAGTCCAAAATAGAAGCTTTTATGCATTAACTTGATAGCCACCGTACACATTCAGCTTCAATTGACTTGACAACCACAATACTGCAAAATCCCCAACCCAATAAGAGTGAATTAAATTAATTCACGTAACCTTAGCCATCCCCCAATCATGCCAAAGACTCATCACACGTTAAAGAGTCGCTGCAAGTGTAACACAGTCCTCACAAGTCGCAATTTATTAAGACAGCTCAGCAACTTGATTAAGTGCTTATATATAAGCTATTTCTATAGTCATGGAGAAAATATGGTCAAATTGTCTTCATATTTTATCCTGGTAAAGGTTATTGTAAATAGCTTATGGACATGTCATAAGTTGTTTCCACAACCACTCCCAAACACCTTGCCAAGAGCTTATACAAGTAGATAAGCCTAGGTAAGATGCTTTGTAAGCCAATCGAAACACAACCTAAATGTCTTACAATATTATGGGATAGACTTTGTCTTTGTTCCTTTAGCGTACCTATTTTTCAAGGCTTTTCTATATCTTAGCCCAATTTCAACAACACGGCAAGGGAAAAATCCTGCATACATTAATCAGATTTAAGAACTGAATTGACAATTGGATTCACAATACAACAACAACAACCAAGCCTTTTCCCATTAAGTGGGATCGGCTACATGGATCAACTTCAGCCATAATGTTCTGTCTAGGACCATACTTCTATTCAAATTGTTAATCTCGAGATCTTTCTTAATAACTTCTTTTATAGTTTTTCGAAGTCTTCCTTTATATTTAGCTGTTGGACTCACAATGCAAATGGAAATTGAAATTGTTATAGCAACATGCAAAAGTAAGACCATTGCCATGGAGAGTCAGTAAGAAACACGGGAAAATGCTAGGTTTTCATTTAATAATAATTAAGCAAAATCCGTGATGTAAGCTGTTGAGAACAGCACATCCTAGAAGGAATAACTAGTGTTTTTCTATCACTAAACCCATATAAAATATTCCCCTGTTATCATGTAGTTTGTGGCTTAATAATACAAACGAGTTGGTCTATTGGTGAAGACTTGGGTTCTGAGAGTCTGTTCCTCTTAAGGTCTAAATGGTGCCCCGCAAGTGAACTCTATTGTTTGGATATCATAAAATGAATGGAGCAGATTGGAATTAAGTGAAATGGAGCATAGTGGAATGAAGATTCCATTCCATCGTTTGGAAATTTGAAGACAGAACAAGACAAGTTCTTCATTCCACCCAAATCAATGGGGAAGATCCATCCAATTTTAAATGATCCAAACAATGGAACACCACTTCCATCCATCCATTACCACTCCGCGCCATTCAATTCCATCGATCCAGGATTTCACAACACATTGATTAAAGGCCAAACAATTTGACACAAAAACATGTATAACTACGATATATTTGCGTTGTGAGTAAAACAAAATTGCATACATACAGTTGAATTTCTTTTTGGCTATAGTTCCATTGTTGAGAGAGTATAAAAAGTTCCTCACAGCTTCAGCATTGAACCGAGCACTATACTGCAAACAAAAACAAATCGCATTAAAACCCTTACTAACCCACGAAAAATCCAACAAAACAGATTAACAAAAAAAAAACATAACCTGAACAACAACAACATAGTACTTAGAGTTATTTCGATCAGAACAATCAATGACATTGGAAGGAGCTTGCGTGTTAACCAAAACGATACTTTTACAAAGATGGTGAACCGATGCAGCGTTAAGAGCGTCGCGGCGGGCATCGAGGGGCCAATCGTAGTAATCGGAAGCGACTCTCTTGAAGGAGAAGTCATTGACGGCGTTGCTGCGTAAAATGGAGGAGAGACAAGAGACTGTGTCGGTGGAAGAGAGGGTTTCAGGGTCGTTGATGAGAGGGGGGTGTTCGAGTTTTGATATGCGTTGGAGAATGTGGGTTTGGACTCGTTCCAATTCTGCAAGGGGCTTTTCCATTGTGATTAGCGTCGCCGATTCCACTCAACCTCGGTGTGTTTGTTAATGCACTAGCATTAATATCGTACACTTTAACATTTTTAGTTTGCCAAAAAGTCATGATATTATTGGCCAAGGATTATAATTAGATGTTTCTATAAACAAAAGTTTATATCAAAAGAGATTACTCTCCCCGTCTTAAAATAATTATTCTTTTACCATACTAATCCATCATTTACTATTATTTTTATTATTATATTTTTATTTATTAATTTTCACTTTATTCAATTACTCTATTAACTATAATTAATAAGAGTACTCTAATAAATAATATTAATTTTATTAGTTAAAATTAATACATCTAATTATTTTCTAAAAAATCATATATTATTTAAATATGACATTTTTTATGAGACGAAGGGAGTAATAAATTATCACTACACCTAAAATAATACTATTAACTTTTGGTATAATTACAAAGATAATGCTAACATGAACTCTAAAGACACATGTTAAGCATGTGTTTTAAGGGCACATTGTAACGCGGTGGGAGAACTGACTTGGGTGTTTTGCGTTTGATCGTAAATGTCGTGGATAACAAGAGTCGTCACCGACTTTTCTTTTATCCAATAAGAAAAGGCTGAAAAGAACAGGAAAGACCTTTCGAGATTATTTCTTGAGTTTGGGGGATGGATTATGAAAAAGGAAGGTGTTAGCACCCTTTTCATCCATAGTTATCTATGGGCTCTTAGTTGATTGCTAGATCACTTGCTTTTGTTGAAAGTGTGCTTTGTGGTGTGGTTTTGAAAGTGTTTTAAAAATGTGCCTTTGTAATGATTTTCGTCTCATAAGAATGCGTACAAAGTGTTGTTTAGAAAATAGTTCAAAGAAGTGTTTGTGTAATGTGTTTTTGAAAGTGATTTTGAAAAGGGTGTCTTTGTAATGTGTGATCGGTGGATCTGGAACTGACTGTTTAAAGCTGGTTTCGCGAAATGTCGCGGTAAGCAAGAGTCGTCACCGTCTTTTATTTTCTCCAATATGGAAAGGACAAAAGCACAGAAAAATTCCTTAAAGAGATTGCTCTCGGTTCGGGAGGTAGATTATAGAAAGGGAAGGTGTTAGCACCCTTTCTATCCATGGTTATCCATGGGCTCTTAGATACTTGCTCATTTGTGTTTTCAAAGTTGTTTGCTTTTCAAGTGTGAGTGGGTTTTGAAAAAGTTTCGTTTGAAAAATTTCTAAGTAACTCTTGTATCTGTCCTCAAGAGTGTATGAAAAATTTGTTTGAAAACTTTCAGAAAGTGTAGGTGTGAAAAGTATTTTGTTTGTTTTTGAAAAGAGCAAGTATCTATGAGAATCTACCTACCCTAAGGAATTTGTCTGTGTAAATGTCCTTAAAGTAGTGCCATCCCACCATTGAGAGGTAGGTAGCACCACCATTGGAGGTATTCGGGTCAATTCGAAGGTTCGGGACATGGTGATCACCAGAGCAATGGGAAGACACCTTAGAAGCTACCCTCATGCCAGGTTCTCGGATCATGAGGACTTACTAAGACATCCTCTACTCGACGATCACCTTTCGAGGGGCAAGGCAACAGTGAGGCGTACCCTAGGGGTGGTGTGTGAATTGTGTGTCATTTTCAGTTTATTGTTTGTCTTGTCATGCATTGGTGATCTACGTTTCGATTTTATTTTTGGGCATTCATTCTTTCATGTTATTGTTTAACAGTTAAAGGTGCGGGAATTTAAAGTGCGGAAAATAAAAGTCCTACGCTATTACAAGGCGCGGGTCTACATCGCCAAATTAAATAAAGACCCGATTTGAATAAGTAAAATGCGGAAGGTAAATATCCTAATTATCTATTACAAGGCCTTGGGACAAATACATTATATCCACAAAAGAAATAACAATAAATGTGCGAAAAGAAATAAGAATCGAGTGCGAGGGCGTTGGACCCTTTAAGGAATTGAATTGAAATTATTAAATTAATTAATGATTAAAGAAAAGAAGTTATTTTATTTTTTATTTTTTTGATGTTTTTTTTTGAAATAAAATAGAAAAAGAAATTAAAATGTCGAAAGAAAAGCCTAAGTCTAAATTTATTTTAATTATTAATAAGAATGTTAAAATGACCTAATTAAAAACTAATTCAATTATGGTTTATTTACAAAATAAAAATAATAATAATAAAAGTGTTAATTATATTTATTTTTTTGGGTTTTTATGAAAATGTTAGTTAAATTAATTTAATGATAGAGTAATTATTTTTTGGTGTTTTTTGGATCAATTTTGATAACTAAAAGCAAATAAAAGTCAAATTAATGATTATTTAACAATTAATTAAATATGCATGCAAAAATATTATTTTTAATGTCAAAAATTAAATAAACATTTTTCTGATTAAAATGCAAAAGGAAAATATTTTTTGTGAGTTTTTAAATGCATGAGAAAATTATTTGAATATAAATTAAATTAGGATTAAAAATATAAAAAAAAAGGTGAAAAACAAAGGAAACATGTTAATTATGGAAAAGGTGAAAAAAATGCCTGAACCAGGACTCGAACTCGTGCCTTCTGGGAATATCCACTAACGCGTTGCCAGCTGTTTCAATTGACATAACAATAAACACTTAATATTATATTGATAAGCAAATAAATCCTGGGAATTAAAAAAAACGCGCGCGGAATTTTGAATGGTCTAATGCCCGGTTGCCACGCCATCGTCTTCTACCTTTTCTGCAAAATAACAAACATGTAGCGGGGGTTTTAAACCCCCCCAAAACACAAGCCTGCAAATAATAGCGATTAGCTCCTCGTTAGACATAAATTAGGCGCGAGGGGTCCATTGGATTCGTCTCATCTTCCTCAATTCAACCATGGCAATTTGAGGTTCCAATTTTTGCGTATGTGAGAAACCCCAAATTGAAAGCTTCGGAAAACCTATATGTCTCCCATGGTGATTTGCATTTTGTGGCCTTACAGTCAAATTAAAGCATACAGGAAGCTTGGTAATAACATCAGCAATGCATAGCAATATTTAAAATGAATTAAAAAGGCATGGAAATGGAGTTTTGATTTTCAAATTTTGGACAAACCTGGGGTGTCGTGGGGATGCTTCTTTGCGCGTTTGGGCTTGATTTTGATTGCTGGAGATTCCTGGCAATGCAAGGAATGTGTTTTTGATTGGAATAGAGGCTTAAAACGTGCTGCAAGTAGGTTTACAATTTTTCTTTTTTTCTTGAAAAGTTCAAATGTGTTTTTTCGTTTTTGGGGACTTTTTAGGTTGTCATCTCCTTGTGTTAGCTTGCATATCTCTTATGTAATGAGTTTTGATCAAAATTATGGCCAATAATGCAATGCATTCATGCTTAGGATTTTCCATAAACTCCATTGAAGCACTTTCCTTTCTTGAGCCAAAATTTGAATTTTTGCTTCTTTTAGCCTCTTGCACGAAATTGGAATGTCAATGATGATGTATCAAAGCAATTCAATACAAGAAATATCCCCTTAATTAACTTCTTTGATTTTATTTGATTTTAAATGACTTAAAATGAATTAAATCAAATAAAATTAAATAAAAATGAAAAATTTAATTTTAAATTTTGAAATAATTTTTGGGACACGTGGGAAGCATGGCCAAGCTGAAACAAGTGGAAAAAGTGGGCCCCTTTTGTCAAAAATGAATTTTCAAGGATAATTGATTTTGACCATTTCACAAAAATTTCCCAACTTCTCCAATGCATATCTTGCTCAATTTTGAAGTTATGAACATGTTCTTAGACATTTTGGAAAGGTCTTGAAGTCCTCTAACCAATGTCTTTGGTCCCATGTCATTTTGATTTACCAATCTCATGTTATGGTCTTTGACTTAAAGTCCCTTTTTGTTGACTTTTGAAAATGACCTATAATGTTGAAATTGATAACTTTTTGTGAGAGCATTTCTTGGACTTGGAGTGTGAAGATGAGTTGTAGGAAATGTATTCCCCTTCAAGATGAGAATTGGATGGGATTTTTCTGATGAACCATGAAAAAGTTATGCCTTGGTCAAGTTACAGTTGACTTTTCAGCTGTCCAAAAATAGAAACTTTTGTATCTTGATGATTTTTGAGCCAAGCTTTGAGAATCATGAACAAGCATTGACCAAATGATGTTTGTGGCTTCAAAATGAGATGTTGACCAAAACTTTGAACTTTTGACTGTCAAATGACCATTTTGCCCCTACAGTTGACTGTAGTGCAATTAGGGTTTTTGACTGTGCAATTTTGTGCTGAAAGTCTTGAAACTTTGTATGAGGATGCTTGACCATATTTGTAGGCATGTGGGACTTGATTGGACCCTTGGAAACTTCATTTTCTTGATCAGAACCAAAACCCTAATTTTGACTGTTTAGGAGGCCCTTGCACTGTGCAACCCTTGGGGAATCTTGAAGCTTGATTTGGCAATTTCTTGAAGAATATGGGAGGGCAAATTTTGGGGTACAACATAATGGTTCTTGTCTTTATGAGAACGTATATAAAGCGTTGTCTTTTGAAAATATTTCAAAATGAAAGTGTTGGTGTATAAAATATTTTTGTTATGAGCAAGCGAGCAACTAGGAGTAACTTACCTACTCAAAAGGTCTTAAATGTTTTTTCCCCTCCTCCTTTAGATGTTACTATCTTACCATTGATTTGGTAAGAAATCTCATCGTTGGATGTGAAGGGACGGGCGTGGATCATCGTATAGTCATGATAGCAATGTTGTGAGATATCTTAGCATTTCTCTTGAGGGACTTAGATCATTTGTAAGGCAATTTTCATAGCGTCATTGAGGGACTATGATCTTATATTTTGATTGTTTTTGCTAAGACGTCTCACATGCATAACATGACCATTTTTAGGCAACAAGTGGAGTTAACCCTATGGGTGCATGTGTGAATAGTGTGTTTGATTTACATGCATTTAGTCTTTGATTATGGGTTGTCTACTTGTTGTTTTTATCTTGCCATACATCCTATTTTACTAACATTTGTACAAAAGCA